GAGATTTTACTTAAATGATGTATAAGAGCAGCTGAAAACTAATATTCATACAAATTTTCGCTCCGAATGGGTTCTTGGTTTTGTGATACACTACGCTTGAATTTGTAAGCTCTTGCGTGACGCGGCATTTAAATCACGACCTAGAGAGCTGTCATGACGGTTAAAAAAGTGACTTATTTCGGGAAACTTGGCTATCTGAACAGTTCATGTCTTAGAAAAAGTATTATTTTAATGTTTTACAGTTCCTCGAGGGCTAAATTCACGCTTTTGTAGCAAACCTCAGTGACAGATGTTTCTGTTGGTTTCCGGCCGCCATGTTGGTGCCCATACGGATGGGCGTCAGCGTGGCGTCTCCATACAAATCTCTATAAATTTGGCTAAGAAATTTCTCCGCATATCTCGCATAAGAACAATTGCTGTGACCAGAATTTTGGCGAGTCTTTGCATATTTACTTTCTTTCATTTCCCAGATTCTGGACTTTATCTATCGACAGGTTTTGATTTTTATTTTGATCTATTTTGAATTGCATGACACTGAAAACCAGCAATAGCTCGATCACGTTCGCTCACGGACTATTTTGGACCAATACGACTGTCCTTGCCATCACTTAATTGAGATACCCAAGTAAAATTTAATTTTGGTGACTTCAATCCTCTTGAAATTGATTTCAATGGCAGAGGGTACACCAATTCTTATTTCCGTTTATGAAAAAAAAAAAAAATAAAGTTAAGTTGACCCTTGCAGTTGGAAAAAAACAATTCATACACTGAAGGCACGCAGACGCTGAATAAACATGTACAACATCGTTGTTTCCAAACGTGTGAAGGGAGCAACTGAGGGAGGATTCTTTAGATGAAAAGCTATAAAAGGGAACGTAACTCTTTGGAGATTCTATTCATTTGTTCCCCTTGGTATTTTTCTGATAAATGTTTTTAGTTCTTAGCGTCACGTGAAGCTGAGCCTTCCTCTTGACGTTTCGAGAGGGCTTGGCGGGAGTCAAAAGCAGTGTAACCGACCAACACGATATTTATACATCGTGCGCTGATTTTGCGCCATAAATCTCCTGAGAGCCTACTATTTGCATAAGAGATTCCATTTATAATTAGTCTGCAGCGTTAACTGACCAGGTTTTGGAAGGTAAACCAATGGTACCGAAAAGTGACCCTCATGATTCACTGAGCTGCGTCGCAAAAAAAAAAAAGAAAAGCAACAAAGAAAAAACAACAACAACAACAACAACAACAACTCTGCATGGGTGCAGGGGAGCATTCGTTAACACACAGACAAGTACTTGAAACACATCCTCGAGCTGACGTCGTGGTGTTGTGAGTTGCTATATTTAAATAGCAACAAATAAATACTATTCTGCTCTATAGTCGATACCGGAGGTCTTACGTGCAGATCCGGGTCCGCAAACTCGTCTAATAGTCTGCAAGTAAAATCAACGCATTTTGTTCTAGATTTTAGTGGTACAATTTGACTGTACAATTTAATGAAAGGGACATCGGGATTTGCGGGGTTGCGGTATTGATGTTCTTTTCATGCGGTGATGCGGTGAATAAAATATCAACTTGCGGTGCTGCGGTGATCTCAAACCCTACGGTGTGCGATGTTTGTGTTTTTCACGCTGCGGTGTTCGGTGAAACGAAATTTTTTGCGGTGCTGGGGTTTTTGACTTACCTTTTTCAAACCTAAATTTGACCTAAATTTAGCATGTAAACTTCGTTGAGCCATGTTAACTTATGACAAACACGTACCATTGAGGTTAATAATTTGTAACAAAATACAGACCATCACTCTCTGTAGTCAATCTTTGCTATTCTTTGGCTGCCAATCCGAAGCTGTTTTCATTTATATGTAACTTGACAAGTAACTCGACCTCTGTCGTTACAGCAATATATTGGAAAACACCTCCGTTTTGTCCGAATGAAGTCATTTATATCTAGGGGCCTACATGTATCTCCCTTCCCAGTTGTAGAACCACGGGTGTTTTATTGTTTGTACCTGGTATAAAATTGATCCTAATTTCCAGTGCTCTGCCGCTGATTTTTTTTTTTCTGATTGTTTTAGCTTAGTTTAAAAGTACTGTACGATTTGCTGGTGTAAACGGTGTAAAGTGTTAATTAGTTTAGCTGATTACGTATTTTCTCCGCTTGGATCTGGAGGTCCAATATCATTTTTACTACTTTATAGAAGTAGTGAAAACTCCGTACAGAAGTCACTGTATCATGCCACTAACCTAACCCGCTTGCAATAACTGTAGGAGGAGAAAATCTAAAATCCTACAGTACGCCTGGCGTCCACCCATCGTGAACTAGATAAGGTTAGAGAAAAGGCCGATAGGTTTAAGAACTCCAGCTCCAATCACTTCAGTAACATATGGAAAGTAGTGAATACGACAGCGGAAAGAACAGATAACTTAACTAACAAGGTGCTTTAATATCGCATATAATGTCAGTTTTCACCTTGCTTAACTGTCAATTGGATAGTGTTGTACATTGCTTTAAAATAGTTGAAATTAATTTACTCTCGAAAGTCTGCTCGCTTTTAGGAATAATTTTATATCTGTGCATTCATGTGTTTTCGCGCCATGTGAATATTTTTCTTTCTATATGATNTTTTTTGGCGTGCTTGGTAGCGTAGTTGATTACGTCAATGCCAACCCTAGCGCGTGCGTGGCGGTTATACCATGCCTTGCGCGATGCGCAGAACGTGTGCGCACAATCAAAAGTGGACACCGTCCCTGATAGTCAGTAGGAATGAGCAAAAAACTCATAAGATGCGTGACACTATGCAATAAATTAAATATGAGGCTCAAAAAGCTCTTAAAAGTGTCAAACAGTTGCTGGGAAACTAAACATTTCGGGCTTACCCTTCTCCAGTAGGTGGAATCAATATACGTGATATACTTATTTGTGTTGAATTGAGTACGTTTACCTATTCCAAATGTCATCACTAATGCAGCTTTTTAATGGCGGATAGTTTTAAACCAACATCGTCTTAAAATAACGAAAACCTCTTAATTGAATGGTATTCAACAGGCCTTAACTCGAAAATGAGCTCCGTGACCGCCCATTTTTTTGGCTTTTTGACAAAAGTCGATCTTTCCCTTACTTCATGATAAGATTTTAAAAAATCTGTTCATGGCAACATTTTGGGCGCGATGTCCTTAAAGTACTATTTGCTACAAGACATTTAACTTATTTCTTTGTTCTGCAGCTTTTTATTTTCTTGGATAAAAAGCCGTCGATTTCAAAGACTGTCTCCCATATCTGTCTCAACAGGTTGTTAATGGTTTGACCACTTTAGAACAAAGCGCAAACATGACAAAGAGTGAGGTGTCTTTGACCATCTCCAACACGAAAAAGGAGGTAAAGTGATATGGTACACTTTATAGAATAACTGAGCTACTACGCGCGCTCTCATGGGTCGATAGCACGATAGGTGTGTTTAGATGAGAGTATGTAAACACGGTTGTGACGTTTTAGCTTCGCGCGTATTTTTGAGAATTATTTTATAAAAGCAATAGAACACTTTTTCCCTGTTCACATAACCTCATCTAAACACTCGGGGGTTGGGAGAATTCTCGAAAGTTATGCAAACCCTCGACTACGTCCAGAGTTTGCATAAGTGTCTCTAGGCTCGATTACCAGCCGCTGTTCGGGAAAAGAGCCCGCGCTCCTCCCTCAAGAAAGCGGCGGAAATGGAGCCTAAACTGTCTCGAATTCTCCGAACCCTCCTCGTGTTTAGATGAGGCCATGTAAACACGGAAAAAGGGTTCTATTGCTTAAGTTTTGAACTGAAAAGGAGATAGCTGAAGAGTCATTAGTTAAAAAGGGTAGTAAAAGTGAATTTCGGATGGTGTACAGAATAGAATCCTTTCTGAGAGAAAGATAACAAAGAGCAAAAAATGAGAGTAATATTAGAAAAACTCCAAAGTTGATCTAACTCGAGCCCCCAGTAAGGGTATAAAGCATTTTCAGTTTTCTATAATTTCGTTCATAAAACCAACCCAAAAACATTCAATCATACGTCAAACCGTGTTAACATGATACTCTATTCAAAACGAATAAACAATGAGTCAGAAGGCGTCACTTCCTTATATTTTTTTTTTAGTCTGAGAAATTTTGTAAGTTTTCCATACAATTCCCAAACACCCCTGCACTACGTTTTTCTAAAGTTGACAAAGGGGCTAGGCCTCAAATGCCCAACATTAATGAAATTTAATTTGTGGATTCCACGACCCTGCATTTAAGTCCATTTAACAGGCCATTTAACAGTCCATTTCGCCCTATCTTGCCGGCCTCAGGTGGTGTTTGACCAAGCAGGTTTCAGCAAGAAGAGGACTATGATAATTTTAGTACCGGATGTGGGTAGCCTGTTTACAGCCGCCTTGTGGAAAGAAATGATGTAACTGTT